CAATTCTATGACTGTATGTCATGGAACAATGTTTTCCTTGATATGTTGAAATTATTTAGTTTCTAGTTTGTTGAATGACAAAACTGGATGGATTTACATACTGATGCTGTGATTAGTAATTAACTTTAATTAATTCAAATGATCATGTTATTATCCCTTCCATGAAATGAAAGTCGATTGTGCTATTCTTTCTTGACCAAAAATGTAACAAAAACCATTACAAACTGAAAGAGGATTACTACTTGAAATATTTTTCCCAATATTTGTGAATTAGTGCTGCATTATTGTACCATAAATAACCTCTGATTATTATGGATCCCTACTGGCAATAGAACAGGAATTAATTTGACAAAGAAAAGTGACATAAACTAAGTAAATTGAGCCACTAGTCTTATAAATTTTTTAATTATTGACTCTTCAGAAGAAGAACTTGTAAATGCTATGCTCGTTTATCTTCATTTTTGATTTTAAAAAATATACCAAGTTATGAGTGGGGGGAACCAACAGCCAGTAAATGCTAAGAAGCTTGTCTAATTATATTCCATGACACTGTCTGATGATGGTCTAGGATCAGACAGGATATTGTCACCATATCTCTGGTAAGGGTTAATATGCTTCCCAGTTTGTCTTGATTTGTTTCAGGATGTGTTTGTGTATACACATCCTGAAATCATGTAACTCCTAAACATTTTGGAAGATAAATAACATTTTTTTAAAATCAATGTTTTATTTTAAAAGTGTTTCCCCTCTTCAGACATCTCAAGAACATTTTCAGCATAGTGTGAGCTCTTTTAATATGTAATTAATCATATAATGACCAAAATCCTGTAGCTTAGTATTGTAAATTGAATAGATCGAAAATGATCTGGTTCACAGCAGATAAAGACATTCGTTTTAATAAACAGAGACATCACTTTGCCGACAAAGGTCCGCATAGTCAAAGCTATGGATTTTCTAGTAGTGATGTATGGAAGTGAGAGCTGGACCATAAAGAAGGCTGACCGCTGAAGAATTGATGCTTTTGAATTGTGGTGCTGGAGGAGACTCTTGAGAGTCCCCTGGACTGCAAGGGAAAAAAACCTATGCATTCTGAAGGAAATCAACCCTGAGTGCTCACTTGAAGGACAGATCTTGAAACTGAGGCTCCAATACTTCTGCCATCTTATGAAAAGAGAAGACTCCCTAGAAAAGACCCTGATGTTGGGAAAGTGAAAAGGCAAGAGGAGAAGGGGATGACAGAAGATGAGATGGTGGGACAGTGTCATCAAAGCTACCAACATGAATTTGACCCAACTCCAGGAGGCAGTAGAAGACAAGAGGGCCCGGCGTGCTCTTGTCCATGGGGTCACGAAGAGTCGGACACGACTTAACGACCAAACAACAACAATACAACATTAAAATTTAATACATTTTCATGTCAAAATATCATCAATTTCTTCTTTTCCAGAGCTCCAAGTTAGGACTGCGACCATGTTTTAAGAAACTTTGTGCCCTAACTGTTTGCAGTCCTATTACCGACCTGGTATGCTGTAATGACCAGTAAGACATGAAAAATCATGTGGAAAAACATGCTTTTTAACATCAAGCTTGTCTTCATGCAATTTCACAACAAACTTTTGTCTGAACCTCTGTGACCTGATTTCCCAACACTGTTAAATACAATGTCAAAAGGTGCATGATGTATGTATATTTTGTCCACACCCTGTAGGCCTGGATTAATGTTTTTGCAAGGAATACCAGAGGGCTGACTCTGGTCACTTGTCATAACTTGTAACCGAGTTTACAATAGTAGGCTAACTGTTTAAAACAGCAACAACTGAAATGGATGGTTCTATTATGTTTTTTCTGTGGGGCTTTGTAAAAACATGCTGGATGGATGTGCTGGATGTGTCACCTGATTCTGATTGCCTATGAGAGAAATCAACTGCAGAGTCTGTGTTCCCGCTTGCCAATGCTTGTACTGACATAGACCATGTACGTGGGAAGCCCAGTTAAACAGCTTAAGCAATAATATTAAGCAATGCAGGATTTTTTTTCTGAAACAGCACTGTGGTTCTGTATTTTTAGTTTTAGTTCTGTTGCTGTGTTCAACTGCGCAGAACTAAGTTCCTTTAAGTAAACTGTAATTTTTCTTATTATTTCCCAAACCTTTTTGCTTTATTTATGTTATTGTGATACAACCACTATGCCTAGCTGAGTGATAAAACTGTCCATAATTTTCATAAAATAGGAGGGCAGAATCTGAGAGCCTAGGAATGACCATTGATGTTGTAAGTAAGAGGCTAAGATGGGGCAGAGAACTGTGGTTTCCTCCAGATGTTAACAACAGTCCAACTGACACCAGCTTCAGCCAGATGAACAATGGTCAGCCATGATGTAAAGAACATATGGGTCTAGATATAGATACTGTGAGATCGGAGGCCAAGGACTGAGCATACAAGCTCTAATTAGTTTGTTACATCAGGTCCCAGTCTCAGATGTAGTTTCAGGCCACTACTAAAGACTACTACTATATGGCTTGCTAATTTTCATATTTAATGCTGGATTATATGTATTGCATAGATTCATGCTTTTTGTGATTGATGTCCATTTATTTAAGAACATAATGATGGCCATAAGAACAGCTATGATCAGACTAAATGTCCATCTGATCCAATCCAGTATTCTGTTCCACAGTGACTTTTTAAAAAGATGCTTGTGCAAAGCCCATAAACAGGAGACAAGCACAGTAGTACCTTACCGCACATGTTTCCAAGCAAGGGTTATTTCAGCTACTGGAGATAATGCACTGCCAACATGACTGATAATAATCATTGATAGCCTTTTCTTCTGTGAGGGCACACAGTCTCGGATTCATATGGGGACAAGTTCAAGGGGTCCAGCGGCCAATTTCTCTCTCTCCAGCATTCATGATGGCAGCACAATCACCCAAAATCCAGAAAAGGACTGAGAAGATTGAATCAGGAAGTGCCTGGATTGCCACTTTCAGTTTGTGGAGGTTTTGGAAATGGAAAGGTTGGGTGTCTGCTTCCAAAACTATTGTTTCTGGAGGCTCCTAGGTGCTTTTTGTGGCCTTTCAAAAGCCCTTGCAGCAATGCATGCTCCTACACAGTTCTATCTGGACAGAATTTTTGCAATTAAATTTTGCAGCCGTAATCCTTAACCCTAGAAAAGGTTTTTTTTTTCTTGACTGTGCATCATATCTCCCTAAAAGAGGATATGAGAAACATTTTTGTGGAAAAATAAAACTAAGATGCTTCCTGAGAACCAAAGTAATATTTGTTTATGAGATAAACTGAGGATCACTCTAGAACTGAAGATACCATATATACAAATGACTAGGCTAAATGTAGAATTTGGCATAGAATAATAACTCTTCTCCTATCATATTAAGCAAGGTTCCTGTGGCTTTTACATATGCCTGAATTTGGTTTGTACCAAATGTAATTCAAACATATGTAATTCTAAGAACCACACCAAAAAGTAGTATACTGTATTTGAAAGCAGTCTGGGCTAACATTTTTGATATGATTCATTTCAGCTAAAGGAATATACGGGGGGGGACTTCCCCCCTTTTTTGATCAAGCTTTCATCTATTACCTCTCTAGTTTCTTCATCTGAAACATTTTTTCTCCAGTTTCAGGTATGAAGAATTAAGCTTACAACGTGTTCATTGCAAAACATACCTGAATAGTGATATAGTCATCTACAATATAAACCGTGAACATGTATTCCCAGCTATCTAATATATCATAACTAACTTAGTTATTTTCCTTGTGTGAAGTTCAGAATGTGATCTGAATTAGAACCACACAATTAAACAACAGCCATGTAAATAAAGATATTGGGGGGAGTTGGGGTTCAAGATTATACATTATATAATGTTCTTGTTTATTCTCCCAGTAGAGTGTTCTTGTACTGAACCGGAAATATCTCAGAAGCATACTTTACAAAAACAAACTAGAATGTGTATAGCAATCACAATCTTCATACCTATTGGTGAGTACATCCTTGCATCTGTTTGCCTTCTTTTTGCATCATATTAATAAAAATGCCATTCTGGATTTTCACTAGAAGTAAACCTCCCTATGCATCCCAACTCCAAACCTGGCCCAGCCTTGTCGGATTGTGGAAAGCAAATCATTCCAGTTAAGGATTTAGTGAGAATTGTGCAAATAATCACTGTTGTTATTAATAATAATATGCCATCAAGTTGATTCTGAATAAGTGGGTTTTCTGGGATTCAGAATGGATTATGAGTCCTTGCACCTGGTGGTGCTCTGGGAAGATGCAACTTGCCCAAGGCCATGCAGGTGGTAAGTGCATGTGATCCCATTAGCCATGCACACTCCAAGTGAACTTGGCTGGCCCTGGCCCTAAGAGGCACAATGGGGATTCGTACTCCTCCTCCCTGATACTTCAACCCATTGAGCTATATCTATGCGAGTAAACAACAGCTTATGCTAATTATCTCCAAAGACCTTACTCTGGAAATGCAACCTCAAATATTTGCATTCTGACAATATTTTCTGCTATATCAGGGTCCCCAAAAACTCTAAATTTGTATTGCATATTTTCAAACCAAAGCAAACTAATGTCAGAATTTAAAAAGAAAAAAAATCTTGAAATGAGACACATACAAAGCTTTGTATAAGAACCAACAAAAGTGCACCTTTAAGCTATACATACATATGTACATTATTTTCCAACATTAAAGCACTTGTAAAAATAGCTAATAGATGGTACTGCAGGCTCAATAAACACTCTTGTTAAATTTATACTGTTTCTATCATTAAATACCAGTAACAAACTGGTGTGATTCAATTGCAGTTTAATTTAAACTACAGTTTTCATCAAAATGAAAAGATACTATCAGGAAACCTGATAGGAAGTTGAAATCAATAGCAAAATGTTTAATGACTGTTGTATTTTGGTTTTTTTTAATGTACAAAGTAGCATAATTAACAAGGATGAATCTATGTAAATATCCTGATTTTTCTACTTAACTAAAATAAATATAAATATATGTCACTTCTCATTACATTAGGAAATGCTTTTTACAAAAAAGGGACACAGTTGTTATTATAGACCTCTTACAATGCAATGGTAATTTCAAGGTAATACTGAATCCAAATCACTGATAATGTTTTGAATATTTTACCGACAAAACCATCATGAACTGGAATTTTCTCCCTGTCTTAAAAGAAACCCAATTTTTCACTCAAAAATTTCCAGCAAACCATCAGCTCAGAAGGGAATGTACTTTGTTCAGCCTTCCTTTCTGATGTCACTGAGTCCTTCCTAAACACATACTTGAGTTTTTGAAATCATGCAAAAAGTCCAGTGGTGCTGCCTTTTATATTCCTGATGTAATATTTATAACAACATGCACACTCCAGATTTGGTCTCGGCAACAACTACTCTGTTGGGATTATTCAGATCCTCAAACAGTCCTGTTTCAATTACTTCATTCTGCCATGGTATTGAGACAGCACCTGTTGCAAATTTTTTGAAGAAATTCTTGTCCTTGTCATCAAACTCAATTCCCCTTACTTCAGAGAAGTCAGCAATGTCTGCAACATCTTTGGCATAGACAACAGATGGATCTGGCACAAAGGGAGGATCTATAAGGCCTGCCTCTAGCCTATGGAAGTTTATTGACTTGAAGAAAGCATGTTTTCTGGGATCATCATCACTGTTCCTGCAATAAGAGAAGACACAGTTACATAAGAATGAACTAAATAACTAAATGACATTGTCAAGTACAATGTGCTTAGACCTTTAGATAGATTCAACTATGAATTCTATTTTACTTTATTTAGCATACACATCACCTTTCTTCTAATGGAGGGACCCAAGGCATCAACTGCAATCAATTAAAACAGTCATATACTCATAGTGAAAAACAATGCAATAAAATATCGCAATTTTATTGTGCATATTACAATATTTAAAAATTCCACTTAAAAACAAAAACCCCTGAGATCAGTAGGAAAAAAGTACATATACAGCATCCAACAAAGATACTTTGTCCAAATCAATTAAAAACCTGCATTAAAAAGGAAGGTATGTGTTTGCTGCCAGAAGGACAAGAAGGAAGGGGCCAAATTGGCCTTAAAGTGACAAATGGCTTATAAATGAAATGACTGATTGATAACTAACTACCTACATGAATAACCACCAATGCTCTGATTGGGCTTACAGACAGACCAGCAGCCTGTGAAGCTCTTGCAAAAGGGATGTTATACATTCCCTATAATCATTAATAGTCAGCAGTTTGGCTCCATTATTTTGAAAAAACTGAAATTTCTGATCATTCTTCATAAGCATTCTCATACAGAGTGTGTTGCAGTAATCCAGGCAGGATATGACTAAGGCTTATGTCATCATAGCAAAATCATTTATTTATTTTATTTTATTTTATTTAACTAAGGCTTATGTCATCATAGCCAGATCATTTATTTATTTTATTCATTTATTTGTTCGATCTATATCCCGCCCATCTGGTAAATTCTACCACTCTGGGCGGTCAGACATCTCAAAGAGTGGGTACAGCTAGTGCATTAACTTTAATTGTGTAAATGCACTCCTGGCCACCTCTGACCAACCAGGCCCATCGTTGCATCCAGGAGCATCCTGAAGCTGGGGACTTGACTTTACTGCAGCCCCATCCAGTCTTAGCTAAATCTTTATTCCCTGATCTTCCTTTTGAACCAGGCCCACAGTTGCATCCAGGATCATCCTGAAGCTGGGGACTTTACTGTAGCCCCATCCAGTATTAGTTAAATCTTTATTCCCTGATCTTCCTTTTGATTGACGAGGTGCACTTTTGTCTCATCTGGATTAAGCTTCAGTTTGTTTGCCCTTGTATAGTCTATTACCAACACTGGAAACTAGTCTAGCTCTAAAACATCTTCTTCAAAAACAAATGGAAAGGGAGATAAAGTTGGTGGTCGCCAGCATATTGGTGGCATCCAATGTCCAAATTGAAAACTCTCACAGTTGTTTCTCGTAGATGTTCAAAAGCCAGGATGTGTGTGTGAATGAGTCATGAGGGACCCTACAGGCCAATGGGCAGGGTGCTGAACAGAATTCCCCAATACTATCTTCTGACTTCAGCCCTTCGTGAAGGATTGAAACCACTGTAAAACAGCACCTCCAAGACTTATCCCAGATAGACATCCCAGAAGGATTCCACAGTTGATGGTACGGAGAATCACCAAGAGGTCCTTCAGAAAAAGACTGAAATGGATCTAGATAATTGGCCCACTTGCAACCCCTGGAGCTGAGAATCCACCATTCAGTCCAGTATTCTGCCCAAAAATGAAATATTGGAGGTTGCTTGGTAATTAATTACCTAGGACAGTGTTATTCGAGGAGGAGCTTTTTATCTTAAAATGGTCTTACTACTCCTTCATGTAGGCTCTTTTCCTGCCTTCCTGCCAGGAAGCATCTACCACTCCACTTATTCACTCAGACAAGCCCCCCCCCCAGGCTGGTTTTGTGAGCCAAGAAGGGCAAGATCCAGCACACACACTCTCTATCCAAATACTCTGTACACATAATCAGGCTGCAGAAATTGGACCTTACTTATTACTGGAAAAGTAGGATCCATAGTTATATCAATAGAATCTGTATCAAATCTCAGAATCTCAGTCATCCAGGTGAGGTTATCTGGAAGTTGAGTCAGGCAACTAGACTTCTTTCTTATTAGGTTGAAATGTTGGATGAGTAGCAAAAAGTTTCAACCTAATAAGAAAGAAGTCCAATTGCCATGACTCCACAGCAGACTTTCAGAGGATCAGTGTTCTTTTTTTATGGGGAAGTGTGCAATAGGCCTTTGAGCACATAAAACAGATCCATGGGATACAATTTGTGGCAAAGAATAATTTATCATGTCACTGCTACCAAAAGTACTTGTAGCCCATACTCAGTTGGATCAGCTCCAGGTTTTCGACCTTTATCATTCTAGCCTCTATTCCATTCATTTAACCACCTCCAGCTCACAAATAAATGAAAGAACTAGTCTTGCTACACTCTATGGACTGAAGACGTGGGAGCAATTATGTCCAGTACCCTGGTTGTCTCCCCATTTCTGAGATCAACCTGGACTTTGAAAGGTTCACCTGCTGACGAGAGAGAAAACTCCCCAAGAGCTGTCAGAAAACTATTCAGATCCATAAGCTTATTAAGCTTTGGAGGGCCAGAGTTCCGAAAAACCTTTACCTTATCATTTACCTGTCCATTACAGTGGAACTACAAGAAAGCTCCTCCACACCCAGATTGCCATCATGCTGCCTGGTACAGAAAACCAGGTGCAGTATGTCTCCTGAAGCACAAATCAGGCCAGGTACCACTTGGGGCAGCCTATGTTCATCATGGTAGACATGAACCACTCTTGATAAAGTGGCCTAAGTGTGAATGTTGACGTTCCCCAACAAAGTAAAGTACTACCAACTTGACTAGCTCTGGAAACAAGATAGTTGTGTATTGGGGGCCCCCGGCATGTGAAGTAGACCTGTAGAATCCCTTTTGTGCCTAAACCCCCATTTTCTGGTATACACACTTGAAGCCAGCAGACTGTGGGGCAGGACACAAGGGTGAGAGAATGTCAATAGACTATTCCGGCTTTGCTTCCCCACCCCTCAGATCTTGACTGCTGCTACATAGGGAACCTTAGTAGGCAAAGCTGGGAAAGACTTCTTGCCTTACCCCCAGCTTTAGGAGGTCAGGTCAGGTTTGCACATTTACCCAGGACTCTGAATATTGGTCACCTTACCCTTGACCAATATGGCAAAGACATATTAATTTCATTTCCCATTTACTTTTCTAAGGAGAGACATTTGCTAGTCAAGAGAGAAAAGGGTTTTCTACTTTAGCAACAAATGCTGCTCACACTAGGAATCCATGAGAGGCATATTTATTTTAAAGTACAGCACATTGTTCTGCAACTTTTAGTGTTATCTTCAGTTTTAATATAGAATTCCAGATATGCTGCACTATTTAAAAATAGAGGAAACATTTCTTGGAGGTTAGTCAAGATTTTTTGACCCACCTAAGGACTCATTCACAAAACCAGTTTTCAGATTTATGCCAGATTTTTATCGCAGTCTCTAAGCAATGTTGCTTACAGTGAACAAGATCGGAACATAAGAGAAACAGAAAATTAATTTTAAAATTGAATTATAGGCCTTTTTCAGATCAAAATTTATTGCTTCAAGCTTATATACTTCATTTTAGTCAATTATTATTATGGTTACAATTTTTAAAAAGTAACGATTGCACAGGTTGCTGTCCTTTGAAGATGCCGGCCACAGAGACTGGCGAAACGTTAGGAAGAACAACCTTCAGAACACAGCCAGAGCCCGAAAAACCCACAACAACCATGTTCACTTGTTTCTTATTTTTCAATAGCCACACATCCCTCAACTGTAAAAATAATGAAAAAAAGTTCACTTGTACTGCAAAATGAATGAAGTTATCCCTTGCTATAGGGTCATTGCAATATAATGTAGCTATACTTTCATTACTCCAAAAAAAGAAATTATAAGTAACTTTTTAGTTTCAAGTAGTTCCTTGTTTGCACTAATTTGTTACTTTAGTTTCAAGTAGTTCCTTGTTTGCACTAATTTGTTACTTTAACAAAAGAACAATACATTAATATTCAGCTGGAGTTAAAAGCATTCCAATACAAAATATTAGTACAGTATATGTCTATTTTAAAGGTGATTATACTATATGAAGGAAATCACGTCTCACATGATTAAAAGACAGGAATACAGGACATGGCCATATTAATAATATTCAGCAGGAAAAAATAGAAAATCGAAGGCCTGCTTATTGCCTTTAGGGCATAAGTGGGAGACTCTGGGGTTTTTTAAGGGCCAGTTTTCCACCCTCCAGATCTTTCAGAAGCCACACAGACCTTCAAGAATTGGCGGGCAGATGGAAAAAAAAATCAAACTGGAAATAAACAGTAGTCTACAGTACTTCCAGTTTTGAAAAAAAAACTACTGAGTTAAAGAGTGAAGAATGAGTTCAGTAATATGTCATTCTTCAGGGTTGCCTCTGCTTGTTATGTTTTTGCCATTTGCATTTCCACAAAATCAGTCCAGTACTACTCAGAGACATCGCTAATGTTAGAAACTCACACACAAAAGTATACAGTGTAGCAATATTAAATAATGTGGTTTTCCTTGAATGTTACATCTGCAAAACTGGGTTGAAAAAGAAAATGACTGTATATTTCTAATATCAGAAAAAGAAGAAAAGAGGACATATTTCTGTCAAGGAATGGTATTTATTGTGCACATGATCAAAGCCAAATCAGATGCAAATACAGAGGTCTTTCTTTCACTGCTTATATCATACATTCCCGACAGACCCTTTATTTTGGACACTCCCACTTAGAGTGCTAGTTGCCACATCTCTTTGCATTTAGTGCTATCTGACTGTGGGAGGAAAGAACATGTAAATAAATGGCACAGCCCCATCACCTACACCCTACTTTGAAACTGACATTTTAGCACCATCTCCAGGCTGCATAATGGATGTACAAAAGTCACCAAAATCTATAGACCCCTTATATGGTCAATAGGGCTTACAGTGGGGGAGTGCAGTTGTTGGTTTTTTGGTGTTTAAATCTGGCTGTAAGACTCCTTGCACAGGATCACTGGTGGAGTTCTAATGCATAGTACTACT